ATGGGTGGAAGTTTCCGTCTCTAGTGAGCAAAGGTGATTGAAAAGCCACAGTGAGTAGCTCATCCTTGAAACATTCACCCGAGGCTGGAGAATGCCTCTAAGAGACAAGGAAAAGGCAACTCACGGGTCAAGTGGCAGATTGGACCATAAGACCTCTCTATTCCTAATTTTGCTCTGAAATACACCTGAAGAAATGAAAAAACAGGTGATCACCAACTTGCAGAGAACTGCAGTCTGTTTCCTTGCCAGGTATTTTTGTCCTATCGTGTTTCCATAAACCCTATGAGAAGACACGTGTGCTCCCTCATTCTCAAGGACCCAGTTGGACTGGAGATGGAAGCGATGGCCCCAAAACCAGCGACATCTTAGCACCCACATCCCGCCGTCACCAAGCGCCAGACACCAGCCCTGAGGTCAGTCCCTATGCTGGTTACTGCAGAGAGAAGAAGGAAAGAACAGGCAGGGCCTTTGGACCTGGGGACCCGTGATGCCATTTCTGTCCTCTGTAGCAGTCAGGAGTTGGGGACGATAGAGCCTGGCCTTGGCGGCTGAAACAAACGAGGGTTCAGGTTTTCCCAGCGGAGGGTGCAGAGGGAAGGACGTGCAGAGCTGTGACGGCAGCTTCAGGATGCGGCCGGGGAGCCAGGCTCCTGCTGCCTCTCGGCGCCACCCTCTTCTGGGCACGGGACATCGTCTGTCCCGGGGAGCTTCGACCATCACTTCTGTCCTGCAGGCAGGAAACAGGGAAGCGCAGGAGGCGAAAGAGGTGATCCTCTCAGAGTGCTCTCCTAAGAATCTGCTCCAAAGCTGAGCGCTCGCTTCTCTGGCCGCACCTTACTGCCACGGGGATCGGGCACTCTGTCCTCAGTAAAGCCCAGGGTCCCGTTTCCAGGGAAGCAGGAGGCGAGTACAGGAAGAACAGCCACCGTCACTCGCGTCCCCGTCAGGATGGCAGGGTTTGTCCCCCACTCTATATTAAAGACGAGACAGCTGAGGCGGCCAGCAGGACCCGCAGAGAGCCACAGCGCGGCGGCGGCGGCGGTGGTGATGGGGCCGGCACCCAGCTCCGGGCCGCTTTTGGAAAACGAGGAACACAGAAGGCAGAGACTCACGAACATCTGTGGACCAACAGCAGGTGTGAGCCGGGGCCAGCTCCCTGCGGGGCGTCCAACTGGCAGATGAGGGGCCGCAGGACGCCGGGCTCCCTGTCATCCCCTGGTTGGCGAGAGCTCGACGGCTCTGGCCTCGGCTCAGCTGGGAGAACAGAAGGGCAGGGATTCAGCACAGCTTCCAGAGCAGCCAAGCGGCAAACCTGCCTTCCCTCCCTGTGTCAGCCGAGGTTACGGTCCCCACTGGGTCCCAGCCAGCGGCAGAGGACCTGCAGCCCCTGACAGCTTGGCCAGGACCGTGCCACTCCCCGCCCGCCGTGGAGGCCAGCGCGAGGACCAGCGAGTGCAGGGCTTCCTCCGCAGCGAGGGGGACGCACCCGGGTGGAGAGGCCCACCGGTTTCACATTTCCCTGTGCAGGGCGAGCAAGCCTCGTGGCGGTCGGATCTCAGCCCTAACTCCTTTGGGGCGCGGGGCTCCAGCCAGAGATGGCAGCCCGTTTGTGTGGTAGAGGCCTGGAGCTGTTCTTCCACGTCCTGGGGTCCCACAGAAAAGACGGCCGAGGCCAGAGGTGTAAAAGGGAATCCAGGGATGAGTCTGAAAAGCCAGCAGCGCGCATGTAAAGAAAGGCCGGTCCTCAGGGAAGGAAGGAAAACCATGAGGGGATAGGAACACACGTCCAGCTTCAGGAAAAAAAAAGACATAAAATGTATTGCATAGAATTTTATTGCAGCTCTGTCTGGAGCATATCACATAAGAGGAAGAGACACAAGTCTTTAGCAAGACATGGACTTCCTGCTGTCAGCTGGACATGGTGGATGCACGTGGAAGGAATGACTAGGGAGGAAAAGAGGTGTGTGGGGGGGTTCTTTCACCTTCCAAAGACTACATCAATTTTGGATTATCTGTGTCATCTACTCCCAGTTCACCAGCTCTGATAATAAAAGCGGACTGAAATGTGTTTAGAATTCTGTTTAGCTGGAAAAGCATTTTTGTGTGAGACTGAAGTTTGTTTAGATTTCTATTTAGCTAGAAAAGTCAGAAAGGCTTTTTTGAATGGTATGAAGATGACGACCAGAAGGCCTTTGAAGAGAGAAGCTGGGGAAGAGATGGGAAGGAGGGGGCGGGCCCCGCCCCACCCCAGAGGCGGCTCCCTGCAAGGAGCAGGCTGTGCATTTCCCCCAAACTCTTCCTCCGGAAGGCTGGGCACCCCGCAGCCACCTGCAGACTGCACAGTGAGGCTCTTCAGATGATTAGAAAGAACTCCCAACCCTGCTCCCTTTTCCCCGGCCTTCTGTCATCTTGAGATCCTAGATTCATCAAAGCTACGCTCTGTGGCCTGAAGGTCTGCGGCGGAGGGCGGGCTGGGCAGCAGGCGGCCAAGCAGGCTCCCACACCGCCCCCCTCCCCCTCCGTCCTCAGCGGCTCCGACTAGGGCACCATCAGGGCGGAGGCTCCACCAGTCCCCCTTGGCCCTCTGGGGTGTGAGGAGTCAGCAGGAACACGTACCCACCCCGCCGGGGCCATCTGCACTCAATTACAAGCCCTTTGGAAGCCGGCAGAGGGCTGTTTAGCTGCCGCTGGTTCTCTGTGATTAGCTAGTTCTTGTCTTTTGAATACTGCATATGGTGCAGCCAGCTGTAGAGAGCATTCATGATTCAAAGCTCTTTTCCCCTCAAAAAGAAAAGTGCTAAGCTAGTTTTATTACCACGGGAAGAAGGAAAAAAAAAAGTTTAAAACTCTTCCTTCCAGGTTAAGTTCCTTTTCCTCCCTTAAAATTCTACCTCTTCCCAGGATTGGGACCATCCCATGTTCTGTTTTCTGCCAGCACTGTACAGGTGCTCGTTTGCTCAAGGTGAGCCTTGCGAAGAAATGTCAAGATCGTGTATAATTCCAGCTCAGGCGTTTTTATCCAGAGTTCAGGAGACTCTCTCCTCTCCCTTATTTCTTATGGGAGACCTGATATGAAGGTATCCTTGTAATGAAACCACGCCAGATTCCGCTCTGCAATCAGCCAAGGAGCCAGGGCTACTGCACAGGCTTACTTACCTTCTTTCCCAGGTGCTGAGCCGAGAACAGAAGCAACGTGGTTTTGCCCACACGTGACCCTCTCGGAGTTCTCTGTGGGTGAGGAGCAGTCAGCTGGCTGTAAGCCAGCATTAAAATCAGCAGGAAAGCTTAATAAAGCGTGTCTTCCTGGGGCTACGTCACACACTTGAAACCTGGGCTCGCATGTGAGTGGAGATCCAGAGAAGATGGAGACTGGGAGTCTCGTGACTAGTGATAATGAAAGCCACGGATCGGCTACAATTCACAGGGAAAAGAATGTGGAAACAGAAGGTGAGGGTAATCAGAGTCCCTGCTTCCTTGTTTCTCTGAACCAGGCAAATAATTCATTTCTTTTCTCATAATACATAGGCTCTAGGGTGAACAGCGGCACAAATATGCCCATAACCACAGGGCACTCTATGGATAAAACAGTTCTTTGTAGATAAATGTGTATGTGTAACTGATTCACTATGCCGTACACCTGAAACTAACAAAACACTGTAAATTAACCTTGTGGCTCAACTGGTAAAGAATTCACCTGCAATGTGGGAGACCTGGGTTCATATCCCTGGGTGGGGAAGATCCCCTGGAGAAGGGAAAGGCTATTCACTCCAGTATTTTGGCCTGGAAAATTCCAGGGACTGTATAGTCCATGGGGTCGCAAAGCATTGGACATGACTGAGCGACTCTCATTTTCACTTTTAAATCAACTATACTCCAATAAAAATTTAAAATATATGTCTTTAAAAAAAGAGTTCTCTGTAGTATGAGTTTGGCTGGTTTAGGACTACAAATTTGCAAAACTTTAGGAACCCATCTATATATGGAGTGAATAGATGTACTCTCCACATTGGGGAAAGAGATAAAAATGGCTATATAAATATTTAGCAGTAAAAGTACCCCAAAAGTAATTTCACTTTTTTTAAATAAGAAATTTTAAGCATGTTCAAGAGGAACAAAATCGGTTCCAACTATGGATTGTTCCACTGAGGGTAATGGGAGCCCCAAATCTCACTATCTGAGAAGAGAATTACAAATGTGGAAAGGGAGAAAACAAAAGGAACCCTGGGCTATTAGTTTGAAATGGAGGCACGGGATAAATTCGTGGTTTTCAATATGGATACGGAAATAAATTTAGGTGTTACGGGCACATAGGTATGTGCATACATGTACACATGCAAATATTTCCAAACTCTGACCGCTGAGATGACCTGGGACCAGTGGCTCCACAATAGTACTGAGCATACCTAGCACTCAAATCTTAGTTTTAAAATAGTGTTCCACTAAGGAAAGTAGGGCCAGAGTAATGACAAGGGCAAGACAAACCTGGACTGTGCTACAGTGTCAGAAATAAAGAAAAATGCCAAGCATAAGGGGGACATGTCAAGAAGACATGGGAGTCAGCTTGAGGGGGTTCCTGCTGGCCATACCTGAGATGATTCAAGCATCTAGAGGAATAACAGAAAGAATAAGTTATAACCCACTGTATAAAAAAATGAAATGATTCCATACTCGTAATATAAACTAATAAATAAACTAGGAATGAATGACCCTATAGTGAAAAAGGCTGGTGAGCACCACCTTAAACAAGTGGTGGGTTAGTGTAACAGTGATGAGACAAGAGGAAATCACACGCCACACAGCGTGCAGGACCTTAGTTCCCTCAACAGGGACCGAACCTGGGCCACGCCAGTGAAAGTACTGAGCCCTAAACACTGGACAAATTTCCTAAAACTGTTTTTAAAACTTCTCAGTGTAACAGACAAGTGACTATGGCAATGATGAAGACATGTGGTGAAGACGAATCTGTAGCATCAAGAGCGTCACAAAATTATTTCTTGAAATAGAGTAGAAATTGTTATTTTATATAATGTGATTTTTAGGTACGTATTTTAACCAAAACATTTATTATTATGAGTTAAAGAAAGATCAGTGAATGAATATACTCTTCTAGGTTGAATTAAAATAGAATATGTAAGGTTTAAAAAAGTTTGGCTGGGGAGAAGTAACAGTTTTGCAAAACCTGTGCAATCCAAAAGATGATGTTCAACAGCAAGAAGGATTCCAGTTTCTCACCACCAGTTCTCACAAGCACAGAAATGTATGCCTCAGTGTAAGAAGGTGTCAACCAGAAACAGGCAAATCTGACAGACTTTACCAAGCAGGATAAATTCGAGGTAAAAACCACAATAAACAATTTAGAGCTTACAAAATGATTCACAAGTCGAGGATTCCTTCTATCGACTTCTCAGAGCCCCCACGAGCTCCTCCTGACCTCTCAAAGATAGGCTGTACCAAAATCTGGTCTGCGCGGAACTTTTCAGGGATATGTGACCTGAAAAGGAAGACGTGTCTGAGAAGACGCTGCCTGGTACCCCCTCCTGCTAGCAGCCTTCTTTGTAGAAGCAATCAGAATCGGGTCCAAGCGGTGCAGAATCGAGCCTCATGTGTCATGCCAACACTGTTTCCCGTCCAGCCAGTTCTCATCTTTCCCCGGTAATGAAGAGATGGACGTTCTTCTTGGACTGCAGCATCTGGGCAGCCCGCTCCACCCCGACCACGGCGGCCAGGCGCTGGGCGTCGTACTTGGAGTACAGGACGGTGCAGGTCCAGGCGGCCTCCTCGCCTCTGCTCATGGCTCGCAGCATGTTACAGACGTCACTGTAGAAGTGCGGGTATGTTGGCAGCTCATAGAAAATCAGGTTCCTGATGCCTTTTATTGTGTATCTGCCAGAAGGAGAAAGAGAGGCTATGTCTATAGGAGAAACATGGAGCAGCCACATCGGAATTTGACAGGGACACAGTCACTCATACCGTTTCGTGCTCAAGGAGGAAGAACAGTAACAGACAGACCAACGGTAACTCTAACTTGAGCTGGGAGGGCTCTTTTTTTTGTGACAACATGTTTAAATTCCTAATGTTTGGTTTCAGATAATGATAAAATGAATTTGGCTTTCTTGAGCCTGCTCTGAGCAGAGTAAGGTAGGCTGGGGGAGAATAGAAGACAAGAGTTAAAAATCGGTCGTCAAAAATTTAAAAAGCAGACAACTTCCAGTTTAACACTATCCCTATAATCAGGGAAAACAATGTTCTATAATGGAGACGAGGTCAGATCCAGTACATAGAATAAACTGCAAATGCTCTCTCATTAGGTCTTTTCTTACCACTTTGACAACATGTTAACTCCATGGCAGATGTCCCAAGTTCATCCATTTACAACATTCTGCCCAAGGACCATCAGGCATTCTGGGAAGGCAATTAGTTTCAAGAGCTTTCTCACGCTTCCCCTGCCCTCCAGGGCTGCACCTCGGCGGTGGGAAGGCACACCCTAAGGACTCGCCTTGCAGTTAGGTTGAGGTCAATCATTCCCTCCTAACAAAAGGTTTCACAGGCTGATAAGGTTCTGATTTTTCCTGTCAGACTCTCAGACACAGCTGATGTTAGACTCCCTCGGGAATTTTATTCACGGAGGATAAGTTTTCCTTGTCTTTTTATCCCATGGCCCAGCCTTATCTCTCTCGAGACCCTCCTCTTCCAGAATATTACTGCAGTCCATTACTTTGTTCATTTTTCCACATCCCCTTTCCATAAAGGAATTCTCACGGCTAACGAACGAAGCTGACAAGATACAGCTCTGCCTCAGCAGTTAGCAAAACACACGCACCCAAACACGGAGTTTCGCTTCTGCTTAGTATGGAGAAAATTCAAGAGGACACTGCTTCCACGCTAACAGGAAAAAGACAGTCTACAACAGCATTCCTCTTCTTGAGCCTAGACAGCCGATGTCACGAGGCAACCAGGTGAACGGATTCAGTGGTGCCCTGGTGTGTGTTTAACTGGTTCTCGGTGGGGGAGGGAAGGCGCTGATTTGAAGCACTTGCCAATTTCTGTGGTGTAAAGCCTTCATTTCAAGTCACCAATGTCACGCTCCTGAACTTGGCAATGGGAAGAGACGTGTGACCAGATCTCAAGAGCAGGAATGAGGCAGCTTCAGCCCATCACTGACTGAATCCCAGAGTGACAAGCTCGTCTGAAGAAAGACAGGACACTTCCCCTCAGGCAGGGCGCGGTGGGGAAAGGGGTGGGAAGGAAGAAACCGCTGCACTTCCAACACATCCTCAAAGGGCAATTATGGGTTTGCACGAGAGTTCAGGATTCCTGGGATTTCCAGACACAACTTTACTTCATTGTCACGAGGTCTTTTCCACAGGCCTCCACTGGGAGCCCTGAAGACAAGGCAGAAGACCTAAGAGACCGCGCGGGTGGCGGGCACAGGAAAACTCTCTTTCCCCAGACCCATCTGTGTATGAAGCTAAAGCCTGAAGCCAATGAATGGGACAAAGGTCAACTGCTGGGTGGGGTCAGATGAAGCAAAAATCCGCTACCCTAAGGGAGTGGGGTTTCCCTGTGGCTCAGCTGGTAAAGAATCTGCCTGCAATACAGGAGACCTGGGTTCCATACTTGGGTTGGGAAGATCCCCTGAAGAAGGGAAAGGCTACTCACTCCAGTATTCTGGCCTGGAAAATTCTATGGACTGTACAGTCCATGAGGTTGCAAAGAGTTGGACACGACTAAGCGACTTTCACTTTCAAGGGAGGGGCATTAACCCCCTCACCCCATCCCTCCCCACCATAAGACTCACACCCAGTAAAAAGCAAGAGCAGTCTGTCCCTAAGGAAAGGGCATGAAGCCTATGGAGTCCAAGAGCCTGCGCTGATGCAAGCAGAGGTTTGCGGCCAGTGGGGAGAAGCAGGAAACTCTTTCCAAGACGCTCACAGAACAAGGCAGAGAGGTCTGCCGCCACACAGGGTGGTGCAGGAACCCTGAGAAAGCCCAGGGTGGAGAGAAGCTGCTTGCATCTCAGCTGGACCGGTCGGAGGGCCCCTGCCCCACTTCAAGCCTGTGTGGACGAGCGAGCAGGAGCGGCCGGAGTGGGGGAATGGACAGGAGTGTGGGGAGAGGCTCTCCCTGGGCACAGGGGTGCAGGGCTGGGGGAAAGCTGAGAGGGGAGCAGGGCCAGCGCCGGGCCACTGTCTGCTGCAGGAACTGCAGTATGTGGTACCTGGATGGTAACCATGGTAACAACCAAATCCTCACTAGACTCACAACTCCCACTCTAGTGACCTGACGCAAGAGGTGTGTCCAGGCCAACTACCCACTCAGGCGCTCCATTCAACTGATAACTACAAAAAAACAAAGGAAAGAAAAAGACACTAAAACCATGAGGTACCATTTTGACTATCAAATTCCTGGCAAAAAGTAGGGTTTACAGAGATAGGTTAATGGAGTATAAGTTACTGTATGTATTTTGGGGGGGAAAGGGAGAAGATGGGAGTGGCAAAGTATAGCAAATTTTAAACTGTGTACAGTTTTTGAACAAACAAGTTTTCCTTTCCAAATTTATTCTAAGGAAATACGTAGGCAACTATGCCATCAGCTACACATACAGATGCTCGTGGCATTATTGTACATAATAGCAGAAAACAACAAATCTACATGTCCATTAAAAAAGAAACTGGGTTAATTATATACCCAAAGTATGTAACACTAAGTAATCATTAAAACAGATGCTATGTACACCTCAGAGATTACTTATAATTAAACATAAAAGGTATTTTTACAAGGCAGAGATCTAGCAGACCTACTTTGACCAAGTGATTATATTTAGCATCACCCAAAATGGGATAAACTAACACCCTGTGCCTCCATGTAGAATTATTACCAAAATAATGTTTAAATCTGTGATCTCCAAACTTGGATGCCTGTTGAATCACCTATTTGTTTTTTTAAAATATCTATTATATAATTGGTCCCCATATCCAACACTATGATTTAATTGATACTGGGGTATGACATGAGATTTTTTAAAAACTCTACTAGGGGATTCCAATGTGTAGCAAAGTTTGGGAACACTGATCTAAATAATAAGGAAATGGGCAACTCCAGACTGTGGGACATTCTATGGGAAACTGGACTGGACTTTTCAAAAAAATGTCAGTATTATGACAAAGAACAAAAAGGAAGAGAATTATTCCAGATGAGGGTTTCTTAACCGCAGTACTACTGACATTTTAAGCCAGATACTTTCCGGGTGCTCAGCAGCACTCAGGCTTGGACCTGCGTGAACCACTACAATAACCCTCCAGCTGTAACTACCAAAAATGTCTCTTATTTTCAAATGTCCCTTGGGGAGCAAAACTATTCCCAGCTTAAGAACTGCTAAAATAAACTTAAGAAACATGTTAACCAAATGCAATGTATGATACTCAACTAAATCCTAAATCCTGGATTGCTGGTGGGGGACAGCTGTAATAATCACTGGGGAATAACTAGGAAAATCTGAACACAGACTAAATATCAGATGATGTTATTGCAATGATGTCAAGTGGAATGTCAATAAATGAAAGAAATTTGTTTCTAGCCACTTTACATGCTGAAAGATCAAGGAGTTAAGTGTCATGAAGCCTCCTATAATTTATTGTCAAATGGTTCAGGAAGAAAAAAAATAAGAGATGTGGTGGAGAGAGGAGAGACAGAATGTGAGTACACGTGAATGGGGCAGAATGCTAACAGCTGGTCAAATCTACCCGGAAGGAGTTAGAGAAGTTCACTTCGATAGCTTTACAATGTCTTTTGAAATGAAATCTTACCAAATAAAAAGTTGGTGGGGGGAAGATGTGACAGAACCATATGTAAACTTAAAAATACATATCCATAACACACAGATATACATGTCAAAATGCCAACTTTTTTTTCAATGAGCACATAAAACACTTCAGATAAAAGAAAAAAAAAATCCCTATGTGTATACTGGGGTCTCAACTTTGATTTTTTTTTTTTTTAATTGCCTGTGTCTGTGTGCATGTACACAAGTTTTTTTGACATTAAAAAGTCAGGAAAGAAATATACCAAAATGAGTATTTGTATCAGTGGGATTATAGGTGATTCCATTTTTTTAATCTAGATTTTCCAGGTTCTCTCTCTAACAATAACACTCTTATAATGAGAGTATTTTTAAAACAAAATAAAACAACAAAACCAACTCCAATAGGTATACTTAAGAACTAAGAAAATCTCTTCATACCAATTTGTCTACAGTAGAGACACCTGGGCGGGGAAGATCCTTGGAGAAGGAAATGGCCACTCACTCCAGTATTCTTTCCCGGAAAATCCCATGGACAAAGGAGCCTGGCAGACCACAGTCCATGGGGCCTCAAAGTCAGACATGACTTAGCGACTAACAATACAACAGAGACTAGGTATCTTCTGGAAATCAGAGAAGCTGAGCAGGGCCTCTTCCGAGCAGCAGGCAGTACCAACTCCTGTAATCTTCTGCACCCCTTCCCCTGCCTTCCTCCTCTCTTGCACATGTTCTGTGTCTTCCATGACCCCAACAAAGATGGCCTAACACTCTGACAGGACCTAAAACTAACGACATTCTAGACATCTATGCTACCTGCCAACTGTCAATGATAAATGAGGCACCCAAAACTGACTTGAAAGGCTGGTTCCTCCATAGTCTATAAAGACTTGATCTGCTTCTTCTGCAGCTGGGGTTCTCACTGGGGCAAGGAGCACCCAGAAACACCCCTGGCGGCCTTTCCCAACTCCAGAAATCCCACCTCCAGGGCTTCTGAGTGCCAATCCTTCATGCTGTGTTTACCCACTGATGATGTTCAGAGAAGGAGCTTCGAACTGTCCTTACCTCAGGAGTATCATGACCAAAGGCCAATCCAGCCCTAAGTTTCATCTCCCCAAAGAAGACAAATTTTCAGGTTGAAAATTTTTCATTAGCTCACAAATGAACTGCAGTATGTCTAACACCGCCTACTTCCTCAGAGAATACAGACACGGAATTTTAGAGTTGGTTACTAAAGTTGGAAATACGTGTACTTTTCCCCATGGTCAAATTAAAAGAATCAAATCATAAAGACACTGCAGATCAAAAAACCTATCATCACCTTGGTGACCTTTCAAGCAAAAAAATCCTATAGTTGGGAACCTTGAGACAATTGGCAGTTGCAAATTACTTAGATTCACATTTAACACCCCGGAACCGGATCCAGGGTGTAAAGCAAACGACACATGTCAGGTTTGTCTTTACCGTGACTTTGGGGACAAAGCTGTCTGGCCAGTAAATGAACAGTGTAAGACAGGAGACTGTCCCACCTACTTAAGAGAAGGGGCTCCTCTTAACACCACGCCCTCTCCTTGAAGAGCTGCTCTTTGAGAGCGGTCCTCATCCCAGCTTAATTCACAATTGTGAGAGACAGTCATGCTGGGAAGTTTTCCAATCCATCCACTTCATTCAAAGGACTTGTTTTGATGTATCAAGCTTTTGGAAAACTAAGGGCTCTTAAGACCTGCTGAATGCAAATTCCCCGCAAAATACCACTTTCCAACACGAATGAAAACAACAGTTTACTGGAAGGAAGCAAATAATGATGCTGGGAAGCAGGCATTTGTTAAAACTCTTGGGCCAAACAGCCAAGAATGAAGCCTGGTCAACACAGATGCAGTCATGCCTCTCCTCTCGGCTGGAAGATAACCCTTGTCAGCAGAATGCAGAGGTCATGCCGTGCCGGCCTGCTTCACCGGCAGGCTGCTGGGTCTTCCTGGTGAGGAGAGGGTTTCTGGGGAACACCATCCAATGCCAGCATAAACTAAAAGGCAATGCAATGCCAAGGGCACCAACTAATAAGCTCCAAAGCCTAGGAGATTTCTGGCTTAACTGTTAGAGATTCTCTGAGGGAATGTGTCCCTCAGTAGTATATGGCCGAGTAAAGTCAGAACTTAAATTCACTGAACATTATTGTGAATCAGGAAAGAAAAGGTTATAGGATGCAATTTCCATCTCTCTCTAGGTAAGGGCTTAAAGGAGGCTTTTACATTTGGCAGTAGACAGAATTAGCAAAACAATAAAAAACTGTGCTCTGGGTGCACAAAGGGCTGCAGTTATCCCAAACAGTAACAGAAGGATCAATATTACTAACGCTCTAATTAAAAAAAAAAACAGGTCAACCCAACATTTTTGTCAAAGTCATATGGTGGGGAAGCTAAGCAAATGCTGAGGCTCTTAAATATCCACCTCTAAGGCCCTCAGCTTTTGCTCTTCATAAACATCAAGGGGCCCTAGGTCCCTGTTCTCTCTGGAGAGGGAGTGTGTGCACACCACCTCCGGACACAGGGGAACTTCCGGAACACTGAACAGTGCGCTCAGCGTCCATCGCCACACAGCCCCAGGATTTCATCCGCGCTTCTGTGACAGGCTCCATCCTCCCTTTGCTCTACTGACGTGAGCTGTCCCTGTCGAAGCTGCTAGACTGTAACATCTTTCCTGAGGGACATACCCTCAAGAAAGCTACTTAGGAAGTACCCTAAGTATGGATCCACTCCACATCTATATATAACATGCTGCGGTCACTCATTCATTTCTACAACCTTTTCCAGCAACATTCATGTTGGAAGAAAACCAAACTACCCATCAAGAAAAGCCTGTCCAGCCCTGAGAACTCTGGCGCCCCTGCAGGAGATGGAATAGGGAGGACCAGAGCACTGCAAAGCCCCCCATACACTCAGAAGCAGGCCCTCCAGAGGGGACGCCTGAGGCCCGGCCCTACCTCTCACCTTTTGTAGAAGTGGAAGCGCTCGGTGAGCAGCAGGAACTGCTTCTCTCCCTGAAGGAAGAAGTGTCTGGCCCTGGAGACCCCAGACTTCTGGGTGTACTCGCAGATATGAGTGAAGTTCAGCTCCTCCTTCCTGAAGTAATTTCGGAGGCGCACAAAGTCAAAGTAGGAGGGGACATAGATGAGCGTGTGGGACATGACTGCATCCCGGTACTGAGGCAAGATCTTGTTCACGAAAAAGCTGAACCTGATTTGGAAAGGCAAAGGGCAAAGTCAGCGGTCTGGAAGCGAGCCCGAAGGGTCAGCGCTAACTGCATGACCCTGGGCAAGTCACAGTCTCCCTCTGCCTCCCCTAAGAGGCCAATCTGGTCTACCGCACTGCAAAGAGACTAGACTTGTTCAACACGTTAGAAAGTAAGTGCTAACACTGCTCATCACAGAGTATGGATGTGACACTGGTATATCCCAGAGAATTATTCTAGGAAGTATATAACTGTATCACTCATTCATTCAGTTGTCAGTCAACAAATATTTACTGAACACCTACCATATAATAAGCACCATTCTGCTACCAAGGGTCCCCTGACTAACACAATGAGCAAGCAGAAGAAAATAACATAGAAAATTAGAAAAAGAGTTCTTGCCCCGAAGGGCTTAGAATTAAGTTGCTGACATGCAGCATTAAGCTATTAATGTAATTTTAAAATGCCACCATCTAGGGGAAAGAACCCCTGATCCCAACTCTGCACTAACTAGGTATCAGACCAAGGACGAGGCATCGCCTCCCTGTCCTCTGTCAATGCCATGACGGGGGTGCATCACCTCATTTCATCTGGTAAACACGGTCATCAATAAAGCCAACGTGGAGTCCAATTCTAAGTTTGAACGGCCAGGTAAAAGCCCTCCCTGGGACTCCCAGGGTCCAGTGGGAAGGGTGGGGGATGTGGGTACCTGGCATCAATCACGGAAGCGAGGCTTTCCACTTCCATCCTCTGGAAGACGTGCGGGAGCTGCACCAGGACCTGACTGATGGAGCCTGTCATCGGGACGTTCCTCACAGCCACCTGCCAGGAGTCAGGGAGCGCATCAGGAGTGAGCTATCCCCGCTGCTGACCAAATGTAATTCTCCCTTTCTGCCTTGCAACCCAAACAACACATGACACTTCCCGAAGGTTCAGAGAAGGGGAGACCCCACCTGGCCTTGCACATTGACGCAGTACTTGTTGAACACCGAGTTGATCTGGGCATCCTGCAGGGCCCCAAACAGCAGGGTCTGGCGATAGTACTTGGACCAATTATTGAGGCTCCACATTCGCACTCGAGAGAAGTCCACCCCATGTGAGTCCAAGGGCAGTAGGTTCATGTGGTTCATCAAATGCTGCGAGCAGAAATAATACTCCATTAATACTTACTGAGCACTTACCTGGAAGGCACTGCTAAGCATTCCATAAGCCTTTTGTCTTACTTAACCCTGAGAAATGCATACTATCATCTCCCAAGTTACAGCAAGAAAATTGCAGGTCAGGCAGGAGAGTGACTTGTCCATAGTCAAGTGAACATTCCCAATGTGAAGATAAAGCTCAAACTGGCTACCTTGTGGATCTTTCAAAAAGGACTGAGATAGTACATATACAGAGTATTTCTGAAAGGCCACCCTGCTTACTCATATAAAAAACTTAGTTCCAGACCTGGACAAGAAGGAAAACGACACAGAAAACAGAACGGCCGTCCTTCCATGATCTGTTCTCGAAACATCAGGAGGCTCCCTGGGTGACTGCATGTCATCCAGTTAACCACGGCTCAACCATCAGCTTCTCCCACAGCTCGGTCGGCAAAGAGCCTGCCTGCCATGCAGGAGGCCTCGCTTCAACTTCTGGGTCGGGAAGATCCCTGGAGAAGGAAACTGCAACTCACTCCAGTATTCTTGCTGGAGAATGCCATGGACAGAGGACCCTGGCAGGCTATAGTCCACTGGGTCGCAAGAACTGGACACAACTTAGCAACTAAACCACCATCACAACCATCAACAGGCCTTTTCTATGTTAATCATATTTTTACCTTGTATACTGAAGGGTTACAAATACTATACATTTATTTCTTACTTTATAAGTACTCCCCTTTATTTGCTGCAAACTTCCTCTAAGGCCTGGAGCTGTAGAAAAGGTAAGTTCTCACTTGCCTTATACTGTCAAATAAACCTATGGTTCCATGAGGAGGGCTGTTAGAGACATTGCAGAGTATGTGGAGAGGGAGAAAAAAATCACAGCACTAATGATGGTGGAAGGACAAAAACATCTCACAGTTATCAGTAGAACATCACACATAACGAAATCATGAGCAATCTTTTCCCAAAGAAGACCGAATAAAAGAGAATGAGCATAAACTGCAGGAGGAATTATTTTAGATAACGACATCCTCAGTGAGGAGGGATTTCAACCAACCAACCACATTAAGCAGTCTATTAGTAGAAGCCACCTTTATAAGAGGAAGAACTCTTATCTGGCGATTTGAAAAGATCAACAAGTTTTTATCTTTCTGGATACTGACCAACCTGTGGATAGCAGAGGGGACACTTCACATTTTCAAACTGGAAAATGTGGGACATTTCCATTTACAAACTAATTGAGTTTTAATCTGGACTTTAATAATCCTTTTGGACTCAACCCACTGAGCTTCTTGTCTCTAAATGTGAATGACCAACATTACCAGGACATGCTCCCAGTTCTGCATCAAGTAAATGTCAGCTTGATCAATGATGAGCAGTTCAATAGAAGACAGAAAGTCAAAATCTCTCTTCTTCTCTCCTTCTCCACCAATGATGGTCCTCAAGCCCAGAGGGGAGGCGATGAGGATGTCCGAGGAATAGAAGGGGGCGTAAAGTCGGATGCTCCTCTGCAGAATCGCCACTCCTACGCAAACAGCCAAGGACACGTCAGCTCTTTACTCACCCCCAAGCCATCAGCTTCCACCTTCTCAAAGCGCCGCCTCCCCTCGTACCTTCCATAGCTCCCCCTTAGCATGTAACTGTACTCAAACTGCTTTCATCACTAAAATTATCATCACCCCTCCTTTGCACTGATGGTCCCTGCGAGCCCCCCCTCTCTCTTCCTTTTCTTCAATGGCAAATCTTCCAGAAAATCGTCTCTACTTTTAAAATCTCCTCCTCACTCTCAACGCACTGCAGTTGGCCTCTGATTCTTAGGATGCCACTGACATAGCTCTTGCTAAGGTCACCAAAAGCTCTTCGGTGTTTCTTGTCTTTAATGCATAAGCACATCCTCCTTGAAATGTTCTTTTCCTTACTGGTGGTTTCCATGACTTCAACACTTAGTTTTCTTATCACTGACCTGCTGGTCCTTATCTATCTTTCCAGATTCAGATAGCTCTTCTACAAATCCCTGGATTCATCTGCAAGTTCTCTTTCACTCTGCATAAAGCTCTGGATAAATGTATTCACTAATGATGGTCTTAACACTACTGTCACAAAATTTTATATTTCCTGCCCACATCTCATTCCGAAGCAAAAAGCAACAGTTGTAAAGAGCCCAAGTGGTACGAGAAGGAGACTGCTTATCTGAAAGCATGTACCAGAGGGGCAAAAGACTGCTGGGGACTCTCTCTGGGGGTAGAATGCTGGTGGAAACCACTTTTACAAACGCCCTCTACCTTGATGACACTGGTGGGCACCATTTCTGATCATTGGCATTAACAAGTCCCAGAAGGAGAAGAGAGAGAAACAGTCACTAACATCCACATTATAGGGGACCCAGGAGAGGGAGAAGAGAGAAAGGGGCAGAAAACTTATTTGAAGAAACAATGGCTGAAAATTTCCCTAACCCAGTGAAGGAAACAGACATTCAGGTCCCGGAAGCACAAAGACATGGTATTTTATGGAGAAAACCCTAAAGACTCCAACAAAAAGCAGTTAGAACAAATGAATTTAGTAAAGCTGCAAGATACAAAATTAACATACAGAAATCTGGTGCATTTCTACACATTCATAATGAACCATCAGAAAGAGAAATTAAGAAAACAATCCCATTTACAACTGCATCAAAAAGAATAAAATACCTAAGAATAAATCTAGCCAAAAAGGTAAAAGACTTGTAGCTGGAAATTATAAGGTCTTAAAAGAAACTGAAGATGACACAAACAAATGCAAACAATACCACGCTCAGAGACTAGAAAAATTAGTATTGTTAAAATGTCCACAGTACCCAAGAAAAGTACAGATTCAATGCAATTCCTATCAAAATACCCATGATATATTTTACAGAACTAGAATAATCGTAAAGTATGTTTAGAGCTACAAAAGACCTTGAATATCTAAACTGATCATAAGAAAGAAGAACAAAGCTGGAAGTATCCTGCTCCCTGATTTTAAACTACACTACAAGTCTACAGTATTCAAAACTGTATGGTACTAGCACAAACAGAACAGAAATAGAGAGCCCAGAAATAAACCCATATTTGTATAGCTAATTAATCTATAAAAAGGAGGCAAGAATATACAATGTGGAAAAGATGGTCTCATGAACAAATGGTGCTGGGAAAACTGGACAGCTGCATGCAAAGAATGAAACTGGACCACGAGCTTACACCAACTACAAAAATCAACTCAAAATGGATTAAAGACTTGAACGTAAGACCTGAAAAACCACAAAACCCCTAGAGGAAAACACAGGCAGCAACTTTCTTGACATCAGTCTTAGTGATATTTTTTTGGATCTGTTCCACAGGCAAGGGCAATGAAAGCAAAATTAAAAGGGACTCAGTCAATTCAGTTCAGTTCAGTCGCTCAGTTGTGTCCGACTCTTTGCGACCCCATGAATCACAGCACGCCAGGCATCCCTGTCCATCACCAACTCCCAGAGTTTACTTAGACTCATGTTCATCAAGTCGGTGATGCCATCCAGCCATCTCATCCTCTGTTGTCCCCTTCTCCTCCTGCCCCCACCCCCTCCCAGCATCCAGGTCTTTTCCAATGAGTCAACTCTTTGCATGAGGTGGCCAAAGTACTGGAGTTTTAGCTTCAGCATCAGTCCTTTCAATGAACACCCAGGACCTATCTCCTTTAGGATGGACTGGTTGGATCTCCTTGCAGTCCAAGGGACTCTCAAGAGTCTTCTCCAACACCACAGTTCAAAAGCATCAATTCTTCGGCGCTCAGCTTTCTTCACAGTCCAACTCTCACATCCATACATGACCACTGGAAAAACCATAGCCTTGACTAGATGGACCTTTGTTGGCAAAGTAATGTCTCTGCTTTTTAATATGCTATCTAGGTTGGTCATAACTTTCCTTCCAAGGAGTAAGCGTCTTTTAATTTCATGGCTGCAGTCACCATCTGCAGTGATTTTGGAGCCCAAAAAAATAAAGTCTGACACTGTTTCCACTGTCTCCCCATCTATTTCCCATGAAGTGATGGGACCAGATGCCATGATCTTAGTTTTCTGAATGTTGAGCTTTAAGCCAACTTTTTCACTCTCCTCTTTCACTGTCATCAGGAGGCTTTTTAGTTCCTCTTCACTTTCTGCCGTAAGGGTGGTGTCATCTGCATATCTGAGGTTATTGATATTTCTCCCGGACTACTTCAAGCTAAAAAGATTCTGCACAGCAATGGAAACCAACAACAAAACAAAAAGGCGATCTACTGAGCATGAGAAGATATTTGCATATGTGGTAAGGGGTTAATATCCAAAATATATAAAGAATTATGGTGACACATTATCAGAAAAACAAACAATAAAAGTGGGCCAAGGATCTGAACAGACATTTTCTCAAAGTCATAGGGATGACCAACAGGCATATTTGGAGATGCTCAGCATCACTGAAGATCAGGGAAATGCAAACCAAAACCACAAGGAAAAAAACCAACACTACAGTGAGGTACTATCCCACTCCAGTTAGAAAGGCCATCATTAAAAAGTCTGCAAATAACAAGTGCTGGAGAGGGGTGGAGAAAAGGGAGCCCTCTGACACTGCTGGTGGGAATGTGAGCCAGTACGGCCACTATGGAGACAGAATGGAGGTTCCTCGGAAAACTAAAAACAGGATTACCATATGACCCAGTAATCCCACTCCTGGGTATATAGCTGGCCAAAACTATAATTCAAAAAGACACATATACCCCTATATTCATAGCAGCACTATTCACAATAGCCAAGACATGGAAACCACCTAAACATCCATTAACAGAAGAATGAATAAAGGAGATGCGGGGCGGGCGTGTGTGTGTGTGTGTAATGGAGTACTGCTCAGCTGTAAGAAGAGCACAATAATGCAGGGTGTGTGTATGTCTGTATGTGTATATATATAAATAAATACACACACACACACACACACACATATATACATATATAGGAATACTACTCAGTGTGTGTGTGTGTGTGTGTGTGTGTGTGTGTGTAATGGAATACTATTCAGCCACAAAAAGAGCAAACCAATGCCATTTGCAACAACATGAATACAACCACAGATTATCATACTAAGTGAAGAATGAAGAAAGTCAGAAAGAGAAAGGCAAATACCATATGATATCACTTACATGTGCAAACTAAAATAAAGCACAAACGAACCTGTCTACAGAAAGAGACTCACAGGCATAGAGAACAGACTTGCAGCTGCTGAGGGGAAGGGAGGGGGATGGACTGGAGGTTTGCAATCAGTTGATGCAAACCACTACGCTTAGAATGAATGAGCAACAACATCCTCATGCATAGCACAAGGAACTATATTCTGTCTCCTGGGATAAGTCATAATGGAAAAGAATATTAAACAGAACACATGTATAACTGAGTCACTTTGGCTGCACAGCAGAAATCAGCACAACACTGTAGATCAACCATACTTCAATTTTTTTTTAAAAAACAAATAATGTGTCAGGTGGCTAGTAAGTGCGATGATCAAAATGAAATAACAAATAGACTGTGACACTGAGTTACAGAATTCTTACAGCCACCATGTAAGTTGGCATTAGCCTCATTTTACATTTGAATAAACCAAAGCACAGGGAAAAGAGAAACACAATGAAATATCACCTCACACCTGTCAGAAGAGGTTTCATCAAAAAGACAAGAAATCACAAGTGCTGACAACAGTGTGGAGAAAAGGGAACCCTTGTGCATGGTTAATGCAAATATAAACTGGTGCAGCCACCATGGAAAACAGTACAGAGGTGACTCAAAAATTAAAAATAAGACCATCACCAAAAAAGAAAAAAGAAAAACCACCATACAACTGGGCAATTTCACTTCCGGGTACTGATCCAAAGAAAATAAAAACACTAATTCAAAAAGATGTGTGCACTCCTATGTTCACTGCAGTATTTATAATAGCCAAGGTATGGAGGCCACCTAAGAGTCCACAGGTAGATGAATGGATAAAGCTGTGGTATACAGACACACACACACACACACACACACATAATGGAATATTACTCAGCCATAAGTGAATGAAATCTTGCCATCTACAACAACAATGATGGACCTTGAAGGTATCACCATAAGTGAAAAAAATCAGATAAAGACAAGTATCAATACCATATGATATCTCTTAGATGTGGATCTAAGAAACAAAACAAACAAAAAACCAGACGGATACAGGGAACAGATCGGTGGTTGCCAGAAAATGGGGGCAGGGGTTGGAGGGTGGGCAACATGGGTTGGGGGGTGACCAAGAGGTACAAAACATTCAGTTAAGAAGTGAACAGACCGCCTACCTATGCCATGGATCCAATGTATGCCAATGTAGAACATAGTCAATAATACTGTATTAACTCTGTATGGCAACAAATGGTAACTATACTTTTTGTTGTGATCACAGTTTGTAAGGTATATAGACACTGAATCTCTATGTTGTACATCTGAAACTAGCATGTCAATTATACATCAATTAAAAAAAAGAGTGATTTATCAGCTGCTCGCTGGCCACCTGCAC